GGCGCGCCGCGGCCTCCTGCGCCGGCGCCGCCGGAAGCCAGCCCGGGAGTGCGAGGCCGCCCCCTGGCGCCCGCGGGTGGCCGCGCACCTGCAGGCCCGAGGTGCAGCCACCCTCCTCCCCTTCTTAGCCTCGCCTTCTCCGCCTCCTCTTCGCAGTCTCCCCTCCTGGCTGCTCCCAAGGAGCCTGTGAGGACGTGCTGTGTCCCCCTGTGTGGGTCCAGGCATAGAGGGGAGCTGCGGCTGTGCCCTGAGAAGCCTGGCAAAGGCCGCAGAGGCCCAGGGAACCCGGAGGCTTAGCTAAGTGGGATCTGCAAAGGCGGCTGCAGCAGCTGGGCCGGCACCGGAGGAGCGAGCTTTGGGGGGCCACGGAGCGCCCCAGCTAGTGCCGGACACGTCACCTGGTCGGAAACGGGGGCGGGCGGGGGCGGTGTCAGCCAAGGGTTAGGTAACCTGCCTCTGGTAGAATCCTTGTTACCTACACGGACACATTTTCCGAGGTCGAAATGAATAGACTAACAGCATGTCGATTAAAAACGGAGCCTGGGAGACCAGCGGGTGGTGTGGTGAAGGGGCTGGACACTTCCACATGGGTGCCCACGGTTCCAGTCCCGGACCTGGTGGCTTGCTTCCCCCCCACCCCCTCTCTGGTCAAATTAAAATAAATTAAATAATTTTTTTTTAAACGGAGCCTGTACTAGCAATCCAACGATGAGTACTGGCACACGGAGCCACTTTGCCTATGGAAAGCAACAGTATCACCTGCTGTTGGCGCGTCGTTTCCTCACACCGCGCTAGCAGCACTTGAAATAACCTGTGCCAGTTCCTCCTGTCTGTTCCTAGAAACTCTTTCTAGGAATTTTTCTGCGGGATTTTTTTTCTTAAGTGCCAGAGGGCGCAAGCACTTGGCAGAGAAGAAGAAAAAGCACCTGCCACTGGGCGAGGTCACCACACAATCCCTTCCCTCCGTTTCTCCTTCCCATCAGGATTTTGGACACCCACCTGCACCTTTTTCACCCCGCCAGGATCAGGATTTCAGCTGCGGCTGGCCAAGGAAGACCCAGCTCCCAGTCCTGGAGCTCGGTCCCTGCACTGTGGGTGGCCCTGCAGAGCTAGGTCCTCCCTGGGCAAGGGGTATGTGCAGGAGAGCGCGCTGTAATGGAGCGTTGTTGATAAAGGATTTTTTAAAAAATAATTATTTATTTTCATTTGACCAGAGAGGGTCAGAGTGAGAGAGGGAGACGGAAGTGAAAAAGCAAGCCACCAGGTCCAGGACTCAAACCGTGGTCAGCCATGTGGGAGCCCAGCACCCTTAACCACCATACCATCCGCCGGTCCCTGGTAAAGAATTTTACAGCTGAAAAAAAAGAAAGCTCCAAGTAGAATAGGGATTTCTGGAACGACCTGTTACAGCCGCAGGAGTCCAAACCCCAACGGAGCAATTTCCCCCCAGTGGGGCTACAGCTCCAAGAACGGGTTTCCCACTGCTGCGCCACAATTGTGCGAGCGGGCAGTTTCTCGCCAGTGGAACCGGAAGTGGAAGCTTTCGGGCCAGAGACTAAAACAGGAAGTACCGGGGAACCAAAAATACTGGGAAGAAAATGGGAACTGAGCAGATCAAGCAAGCGACCCCATAGAGTCGTGTTATCAACTCGGTCACTTTTGATCCCCGCTTGAAGGGTCTAACTCTGATCAGCATGACAAAGACTCAGAGCTGCTAGTGGGTGGAGTTCTAGCCAAGTCCCGACTAGCCACCCAGCGGTGCCCGTGAGCCTGGGAAGCTTTTGAAAACTGGCCTGGAATACAGCCCACAGGACAGCTGGAACCTGCCTCCTATTCTTTACTAGCCAGGACCGTGCTTAAATAAAATGATCTACATTCGCCATAGGATTTAATTAAGAATCAGTCCCGTAATATTCAAAATGCTCAGAATACTGTCCAAAAATACCATGTGAAATACTACCAAAATCTCAACGTGTATGGGAAATACAACCTAATTAGAAACCTTCTATTAAACTGACCCGATAGGGGGTAAGATGGTGGTGTAGTGGTTAAGGTGGCTGGATCCCGCATTGCTACGGTTCAAGTCCTGGACCCGGTGGGTTGAACAACATGCTGGTGGCATGTCCCTGCATTGTCCCAAATCCCTAGAGGAGAATGGAGAAGCGATTGTGGTGTGGCCATTCCCTCCAGGGTCCTTTCTCACTTACCCTCTCTCTCTGGCAAGTGCACATGCCCTATAGCAAATTTTCTAAAAGGAAGAAAAGGAGAAAGACCAACCAGCCTGGTAGAGACCCACTGATTTGATGTACTTTTGCCTATTAATATGTTAAAACATATATATATATATATGTGTGTGTGTGTGTGTATTTGAGAGAGAGATTTTTGCTATAGGGCGTGTTCTTTACCCCGAGAAACAGAAAGAGACAGAAAGCAAGACATCACTCCTCAAGGGGGATGACCACACCGCAATTCCCTCTCCATTTTCCTCTCAGAATTTTGGGCACACACACACATGCACTTAGCCTGAGTTGTTGCATTTTTTTCTTTTTTTTTTCAATTTGTATTCATTCATTTATTTTAATTTGACCAGAGACAGACACAGTGAGAAAGCAAGCCACCAGGTCCAGGTATCGATCTATGGTCAGTCATGTGGGAGTGTCCAGCACCTTAACCACCACGCCAGGCTGGTCCCCTTGGCCTGAGTTTTAAGCCTCCAGGTCTGGGACTCAAACTGCAGTCACCTATGTGGGAGTCCAGACACATAAACATTACGCCATCTGATGGCCCCATACATTGCTTTTTATAAGGTAACTTCCAGAGGAAAACATCCTGGACTCCCGGAAGTTTTAGGCTAGTATTTGGAATACAGCCAATTATCAAACTGAGTATAAGGCCTCCTTAAAGGATGTGACTAGTCAGATTTGTCCTCCTTCGTGAGGTTTTGACTCCATCAGGTAGATAATCCCTCCTGCTTGTGTCCCCAGTGTTTTTTTGTTTGTTTGTTTGTTTTTTAAGAATTATTTGTTTCCATTTATTATTATTACTATTAATTTGTCCAGAGAGAGAGAGAAAGGGAGAAAGCAGACTGCCGGGTCTGGGACTCGAACCGTAGTAGACTGTGTGGGCTAGGGCGTGTGCACTTGCCAGAAGGAGAGAGATAGAAAGTGAGAAATCACCCCCTGGGGGGAATGGCCATGCATGCACATGTGCCTGGCATGAGTTTAAGCCACCGGGTCCGGGACTCGAACTGCAGTCAACTACATGAGAGTTCAGCGAGCAACATAGCCATTACGCTAACTGCTGGTCCTCAGTGTTTTTTTTTAAAGTAGTAAAATGGGGATCAGCAGGTGGTGTGGTGATTAAGGCACCAGACATTCCCACATGGTCGACCACAGTTCCAAGTCCCAGATCTGGTGGCTTGCTTTCTCACTTTCCTCCCCTCTCTCTGGGCAAAATAATAATAATAAATGGATAAACACAATTAAATAATATTTTTTAAAAGGTAGCAAAATATTGGTCTCTCTTACAACTAAGGTACCTGAGGGTAGAGAGTGGTATTTTACTCTTTCTCTAATCCCAGCTTTTATGTGGGTATTGATTACCATACTGACACTTAAATTTTTTACTTACTAGTAAAGCCATAAATCCATTACATGTTAACAAAAATACCTTTTATGAAAATTACATTACAAAAAAATGGAGATGGCATTGTTTTACATTTTTGCATATCTCTTTAGTCTGACTTAATAGAAGGTATCTAGATTTTCTATGTTCAGTCTTGCAACATGGTGTTTTGATTAAAATATATGAAGAAAATCAACGCACACAGCTATCTACTGATAGCCAGAAAGGGAGTGCAATATTTTAATAGCCTTTTCAGAAAATTTTGGATATTCTTCTTTGATACTATACCAAAATTTGACAAGCAGTTGCTCCTCAAAGGTTAGTTGCAACGTGGCATCGGCAGTCTTATCCGAGTTTTGTACCTGGTACATCTTGTACTTTGAATGGATCATCTTGACATCACAGAACTGTCCTCTGGCTGATGCTGGGTGAGTTCTGCAGACCTCCCATCGCTGACTTTATTTCACGGTATCACGAAATGGCATTGGCTAATATCACTGATTTTATGAGAAAGGCCTGTAGGTATTGAGCAGCTGGCAAGCTCACCACAGATGAATACTCTGCCTGAAAAGCACAAATTTTATCACCAGCAATAGTAGTTTTCCATGAAGTAGACAAGCTCACTCGTTTTTGAGAGGATGTGTAACAGCCATCAAGTATAAACAAGGTGTGTCAGTTGTTTGTTCAAGTAAAAATGTGTTCTGTGACGAAAGTGTTCTGTTCGGCCCACAGCTTACACCAGTAACTTTCCCTCAAGGAAGTCATAAACATGTTTATGCATCCTTCCATTCTGCTGCACTAAGATACTAAAAGTACGGGTCAGGTGTTGTGTGTAAAGTATGTAATCACTGATTCGAGGGTCTTCTTCAGTAAGCGCATGGCAGTGAAGAATACCATGCCAACAAATACTGTCTGGACTTGTGCTCAAGCACTAGCAGTTTGAACCACCAGCTTTGCACCGACAGTGCTAGGAGCAGCACAGTGATAGCACTAGGCAAACTGTTTTGAACTAGCCCTGTCCTCCAAGACACAGACGGAGAATTACCAGCCCAATCGAAGCAGTGTGGGGCCACGTCTGTATGTCCAGTGCCCAGTAAGAGATGACCCTCCTTAGGATGATAGAGCCCACGATGAGACACTTATATCCCAGGACCTCCTCACCTGATTAATCAACTGCTACATAAACTCCAGGCAGAAAATGTCAAGTGCAGAGGCTGCTGCAATTATTCAGACTGCTTCAGTTACATTTCTCAATGTAAACAAACTGCTCTCATGGATTAAACAGTCTCTGAGCTTTATGTCAACGGTCCTGAATCAGCCATCAATTTTAGGACACTGGTGACAGATTCTGAAAACAAATGCTATCTTTTTTAAAAAAAAAAAACTTATTTATTTCCACTTGTTATTATTTTTTAATTTGATCAGACAGAAAGAGAGAGAGAGAAAGGGAAGGCGAGAAAGCAAGCCACACAGGTCTGAGACTCGAACCCCAGTTGGCCATGTGGGAATCCAGCATCTTTAGACACCACGCCACCTGCCGGCCCCAACAAATGCTATCTTATGAGCACTTCTCTATGTAGCTTTTGTTCATGAAACCTCTGAAACCGTCTACACAGGGATACTTTATGGTGGCTTCAATATGAAATAAGACTTTTGGGATCTGAAAACAAACATTTAAGTGTTAGAAATAACACTGTGGAAAGTACTAAAATATTATTTCCTAAGTTTATCCTGAGAAAAGATGAAGAACCAGCTCCACAGGCCAGCTCCTTCCTGGCATGTCTTCCTGAATTGTTTTTGTTTGTTTTGGGTTTTTTTGGGAGGTCTTTTTTTTTTTTTTTTGCTATAGGGCGAGTGCACTCACCACAAAGACAGACACTCACCACAAAGACAGACAGAGTGATAGAAAGCGAGAAATCACCCCCCGGGGGGATGGCCATGCCCAAATCCCTTCTCCTCCATTCTCGGGATCTTGGGCACTCATGCACACACGCCCAGCGTGAGTTTAAGTCACCAGGTTTGGGAGTTCAGCGACACAGCCATTATGCTAACTGCTGGTCCCTTCCTGAATTGTTAAAACTTCATTGCCCAGATCCCTTTGCAGTAATTTCTCGTGCTGTACAGGTTCTTTCCAATCAGATGACTAAACCGAGCCTTCTGTATGAAGCCATGCTGTATGGGAGGTGCAGCGGAGGGCTTGCATGGAGAGGCAGAGGTGGCAGTCCTGGTCCTGCGGGTGGCAGTCGGGGGAGGGGCTTCCTTTCTGCAGGTTCCTGCTTCTCACAGTTCTGTAGCAAGGTTTGGGGCTGTACTTCGAAGATCGGCCAATTATTCTGCCAGCCAGCTACATACAATGGGTGGTTCAAACTACCTTGAGTGGATTTTGCTGCATGCGGTCAAGTTCACATGTGAACACTTAACATTTCCTGGAACACAGCCATGTTTCTGCTCTCTTCAGTTTTATGGCAGTATTTTCTTTCTCAATTGCTTTCCTAAGCCAAGGCAATAGCCCTTGTGTATAGTTAAATGCTACTTTTAAAAAAAAAAATCAAACTAGTATGGCATTCTTTTTAGATAGATCTATAATTTTATTATGAAACCATTCTTTTGGCATTAGTTTGTTACAGTGATAGCAAGATACTATGAGTGTGGCATAGCAGCTCTAATGTAACAACTGTATTCCCTGCTTCCTGGGCCGAAATTAAGTTACAACTTCAGTTACTTCATATCCATTACAGACACATGACCTGACCATTACTGCTACAAATCCTGACACAGACACCATTTAGGGAGGAGCTGATGCTAAGGGATTAGACTGAAGGTTGGTAAGACTACAAAAGTTCCTTTATGAGACTTTTTTCCTCCCACCCCCCTCCGATTACTTTGCTTTAGAAGAAGGAAATGACTCAGCCAGTCCGAATAGCAGCAGCACCCAAGGAGCATCGCACTTAGTTCTTGTTAGACAGCAACACCGTGCACAGTGCTCTACCGCAGGCAGAGGGAATGCTCGCTGTAGCTTTTCAACTCCTGATTAGAGTCCTTTAGAAAAATAAAAGCGTTTCATCAAGTTCTTCTGGATGGTGTTATTGCTGTACACTTGTTGGTGGGTCATTTTCTGTGCTGTGTTTGCTTTGAAGAGATCTTCCGATATATCTCCAATATTCCTTTCTTATAGTGTCCTTTTCTTTAGCTAGAATTTCACATAACTAAAAATTAAAAACAAAAATTTATTAAAGTAAATATGTGATTCAATTTCAAGGGCAAATGCCTTTGAGCCAACACTTAATTTAACTCAGATCATGCTCAAATGAGACACTGTTGGAGACACACACTATGCTCACCAGTGACGTGGATGGTGCCCTAATCAGAAATGGCCCTCCCTGGGTCGCCTTCTGAGTAACCCGTGTTGAAAAGGAGCGTTGATGTAAGTGCCACTGAACAGAGTCAATTCTGTACATCAAAACAGAGCAGCACCAAATCGGACCAGCTTACCGCTAGTGCTTTAGTAAGAATGTCCTCCTTGTCGTCACATTGGTTTTCTAGCATGTCTTCATAGATATCCACAAGAAAGGCAATTAGGTAGGGGGAACTGTGACTTGGTTGTAAATCAAGTAACTGATTTAAAAGATTGGGATATTTGGAAAGACCGCGATCCTGCAAAATCCTAAAATATGAAAAAAGAAAAAAAAGCTCAGTTTTGAGAAGGAAAAACAAAAATGTTGAAAGGATCAAGAGAAAATAACCCCTGAAACACAAGCAAGAAAAGGAGACCTATTCAGGATGAATGAGACTGGGGCTGGCAGGTGGCATGGTGGTTAAGGGTGCTGGACTCCCACATGGCCGACTGCAGTTTGAGTTCTGGACCTGGTGGCTTGCTTTCTTGCTTCGTCCACCCCCTGTGTCTCTCTCTGGTCAAAGTAAAAAAAAAAAAATAAAATAAAATAATAATAAATAAAGTTAAATAATATACTTCTTAGAACAAATGAGGCTGAAATTAATGAAATTTAAATTATGTGAGCCTTATCATGAATAATTAAGAGTTGAGTAAAATTAGTTAAAAAATAGTTTAAAAAGTATTTCTTCTAATTGTGCAACACAAAATTTAAGCAGAAATAAATCATTCTCCTAAAGTTACAAAGTGAAGAGAAAAACCAGGAGAGAGCGAGTCTTGCTTCTCGAGATGGGTTCTTACTCCACTGGGGGATGGAGGGTGGTATTCCTCTCTCCCTGTCTCTCTCTCTTACCTCTAGTAAGCACACATGCCCCTGCAAATAAAAAAAAATTTAAAAATTATCTAAAAAATAATAAAACGAGTAGAAACAATTTCTTACCCCTTCAAATAGTTCCATGCACTTTCATTATGTGGTACTAGTTTAATCATTTCGAGAGTGTACCTGTAACAAAACAAACCCCAAATAAATACATATATATCATTTTAAAGAACAGTGCAATGGTTAGTTTTTTGTGTTTTAGGCTTTTGCCCTATGGCCCGTGCGCTCACCAGAGAGGAGAGAGACAGAGAGAGGGCAGTGTGAAATCACCCTCAAGAGGGGATGACCACGCTGCAATACCTTCTCCTCTCAGGATCTTGGGTATGTGGGCATATGCGTGATTTTCAAGCTACCGGGTCTGGGACTCCAACTACGGTCAGCCACGTGGGAATCCGACCGCCCCAACCACCATGCCATACCTGCTGGCCCCTAGACAGCCTTAATGAGACTGTGGCACAGCACGATGCGTACTCTCGGTCCTCCCTCAGTGGCCTCTGGCACTCTCCAAGTCCCAGCTAAACTGACAGAGCGCCCCGATTCCACCACCAGCAGTTCTTGCACTGCTGCTCCTTCCTGTGTCTGCGTCCAGATCTGGAAAGGACACTTAACTCATCTAAGGACTTCCACTCACAAAAGACAGTAAATAATGAGATTCCCTTTCATCAGAAGGGAAGGTCTTTCTTCTTCTGAAGGAAACGGAAGCTAAAATGAGACTTTCTTTTATTGGTAAAGCAACTTTGGGGAAAAAATTTACGATCTACGTAGGCCTGACATATCCTCAGCCACTGAAAAAGGAGAATTATCTTAGGTATTATAATAAAAACCAGACAGCATGGAAATTATATAGACAAAAAATATAAATAAAAACCCCACACACGTATCTGTTCATATTCCAGAACAACGTTACCAGTAAACTATAAGAGGCTTCGTACCTTTCTCTGCCCCCTAACCAGATTATTAACTAGAACTCCTACCCAAGTACTACGAATTCTGAGGAAGGAGAGGGCTGCTCGTGCAATGTATTAGTACCTGCTCAGGTGCCTACGTGACTGAAGCTCAGCCACCTTGGTTCTGCTGCAGAACTGTCACAAGGCGGTATTTTCTACTGGGAGCAACAAGCTCGTACAATATGAAAACATTTTCCAGCTACTTTTACACTACCTAATTTTTAAAACCATATCCTTGTAGGTGTCTTAGCTGGTCCTTGTAGAAGATTTTTAAAACCATAACCTGGAGGTCTTAGCTGATTCTTATAGAAGAGTCTTAAATTGAAAATTAAGAATTCTGGCAATACCTAAATTTTTATTTACATACATACGCACTAAAGTGTTATCTGTTTGGGTTGTGTTTTTTTTTTTAAAGGATTTATTTAATTTTATTTAGTTATTCGTTTATTTTAATTTGGCCAGAGAGAGAGAGAAAGTGAGACAGCAAGTCACCAGGTCCGGGACTCAAACCGTAGCTGGCTATGTAGGAGTGTCCAGAGCCTTAACTACCATGCCACTCGCTGGTCCCCAGTGTTATCTGTTTTAATGGCTAAAACATGGACTTTGAGGTCAGACTGCCAGGCTTCAAATCCTACTTCTGCCAATTTTTTTTTTCTTTTGGTTTTTGCCATAGGGCACATGCCCTCCCTGGAGGGAGGAGAGAGAGATGGGAAAAATGATAAACCACAACCCCATGGGGTGGTCCCACCTCGAATCCCTTCTCCTCCATTCTCCCCAGGGTCCAGGGACCTCGGGCATGCAAGCACACTTGCCCAGTGTGATTCTCAGGCTGCCGGGTCCCGGACTCACACTGAGGTAGGCCGGGTGGGAGTCCTGTGCATAACCACTACATTGCCTGCTGGCCCTGCCCTTTCAACTTGAATGCTCGTAGGCAAATTATAGAATTACTCGGAGCCCCAAGTCCTTCACAGAATGCCTCACACCTCAGTTAGCTGTTGTGAAAATGAAAAACCCCTGGCATGCAATAAATGTTTAGTTAAGTGCTATTACTAATAGAATTGTATAAGCATATGAAAATATGGCCATGACACATTAAGTGAAAAAAGCTATTCCTATGGGGCCAGCAGGTGGCGTGGGGGTTAATTAAGGGTGCTGGACCCTCACATGCCCCGTGGTATGAGTCCCAGACCTGGTAGCTTACTTTCTCACTTTCCCCTCCCTCGCTCTATGTCCCTCTCTGATCAAATTAAAATAAACAAAGTTGAATAAATAATTCTTAAATGCTATGCCTATAACATAACTGCCTCTGTTGCTGTGCATAAGTGTTTGCAAATTAATGTCAAGGTTTGGAAGTATTCAAACCTTACTCTAGAGAATGAAATGCTCGGAGTGCGAAAATGAGACTGACTTTAAAAAAATAATTATTTAATAATTGATTCTTTAATAATTTTAATAAATAAATTGATCATTTTAAAAAATTTGCTATGGAGCACATGCATTCACCAGAAAGAGAGGGAGAGTGAGTAAGGAAGGGAGAGGAGAAAGGGAGAGAGAGCAAGCTGCCAAGTCTGGGACTTGAACAACAGTTGGCCACATGGGAGTCCGGCACCCCCAACTACCATGCCACCTGCTGGCCCCGAATACTCGCCAGAAAGACAGAAAAGACAGAAAATGAGAAATCAACCCCTGGGGAGGACAGCCATGCTGTAATCCCTTCTCCTCCATTCTCCTCTTGGGATCTTGGGCACGCATGCACGCACACACGCCCAGCGTGAGTTTAAGCCACCAGGTCCAGGACTCGAACCACAGTTGACTACATGGGAGTCCAGCGACATAGCCATTATGCCATATGCTGGTTCCTCCAAGACTGACTTTTTACTTTATATAATTTAGTACAATTTTCCCCACAAGTAAACTTCATTACTTTTCTTTTCTTTTTTTTTGAGAGGTTTTTCACTATAGGGTGCGTGCGCTCACCAGACAGATAGAGAGAGACAGAAAGCGAGAAGTCACCCCCCAGGGGGGATGGTCATGCCGCAATCCCTTCTCCTCCATTCTCCTCTTGGGATCTTGGGCACGCACGCACACGTACCCGGCGTGGGTTTTAAGCCACCAGGTCCGGGACACGAACCGCGGTCGACTACATGAGAGTCCAGCGACATAGCCATTACGCTAACTGCTGGTTCCCAAACTTCATTACTTCTCTAATAAGAGGGAAATAACAGAAAAAAAAAAAGAACAAAACTAGAACACCTGCAAAATGTGTCATGACTTTTCCCACAACCCAATACATTCCTGGAGTTAAAATAATTAATTACCGAGAGCAGCAGATAGCATAATGTTACGTTGCAGGACTCCCACATGGTCGACTGCAGTTCCTAGTCCTGGATCCCACGGCTTAAAACTCAAGCCGGGCTTGTGCTCAAAGTCCTGAGAGAGGAATAGAGAAGGGATTGCAGCAGGGCCATCCCTTCTTGGGGGTGATTTCTTGCTTTCTGTCTCTCTGCATCCCACCCCACCCCCACCCCACACCTCAAGCGAGCGCATGTGCCCTATAGCCAAACTCTCTTTAAAAAAAGAAACAAGAGGCAGGAAGGTGATGCAGTGGTTAAGGGCACTGGACTCCCACATGGCAAACTGTGGTTTGAGGGGCTTTATCTCTCTCTCTCTCTTGCTCTATCCTTTTCTGGTCAAATTAAAATAAATAGGTAAATGGATAAACAAAGTCAAATAAAATGATTTCTAAAAAAAAAAAAAAAAAATCACACCGGGTGCATGTTCATAAGTGCCCCAAATTCCAAGAGCAAAGTGGACTGCAGCATGGCCATACACCCGGGGGCCACTGCTCGCTTTCCAGCTCTGTCTCCAGCAACTGCGTGTGCCCTGTAGTACAAATCTCTCTCTCTCTCTCACACAAAAAAATTATTTATTAAACTGTGTATTTAGATAACTACCCTTACTATTAACATTTGAGGCATTCCTTTTACCCATTCCGAGGGGGTAAAACCTTAGGTATAGAAAACTACTGTAGGTTCTTGGCTGATTATTTCTATTTGGTATTAAAAAGCCAGTGATCAGCCTCTATAAAGGCTGAGAGAAGTCTGCATTTTCCAAACTTCTCATATTCAATTTTTTTTACTATCTTGTTACCCCTAACCTAAGGATGTAAATCACAGTAAATAAAGAATGTGTAATATTCTATTAACTGTTAATTGGGTGAGTTCAAGATGGTAAAACCAGAAGCATTCTATCTTTTTGCAAGAAAGCTTTGCTTTCCTTAAGAGTTGTTTGATTTGTTTATTTTTACCTTTTTGACAGTCTCACTATGTTGTAACCCTCCTGCTTCAGCTTCCCAAGTAGCTAGAAATACAGGCACAAACCACCACACCAGACAGAATACATATACTTTAAATACAAACATTAGAATAACAACTCCTTTTTTTTTTTTTGAGAGAGAGAAAGAGATTGTTGTTATAGGGCACATGTGCTCACCGGAGAGACAGAGAGACAGAAAGTGAGAAATCACCCCCAAGAGGGGATGGCCCCATCACAATCCCTTCTCCTCCATCCTCCTCTCCAGATCTTGGACATGCACACACATGCACCCGGCATGAGTTTTAAGCTACCAGGTCGACTACATGGGAGTCCAGAGACATAACCATTACACCATCTGCTGGTCCCAGAATACTAACAGGGAAAAAACAGTAATAAATAAAAGTGCTGATGGGAACCAGCAGTTAGCGTAATGGCTATGTTGCTGGACTCCCACGTAGTTGACTGCGGTTTGTGTCCCGTACCTGGTGGCTTAAAACTCACACTGGGTGCGTGTGCGTGCATGCCCAAGATCAGGAGAGGAGAATGGAGGAGAAGGGATTGCAGCCTGACCACCCCCCCTCGGGGGTGATTTCTCGCTTTCTGTCTCTAATGTCTCTCTCTGTCTGGCGAGTGCATGCGCCTTACAGTGAAAATCTCTCCAAAAAAAAAAAGTGCTGAAAATAGAGGCTGAATTTTCTCTACTTAAGTCCCAGTATTTAGGTTGAGAATAATAAAATGTAGACTTTCAGCTAGATGGCTGACTAAAGGGGCTTGGGATATTGCCCCCACGCAAAAAAAAAAAAAAAAAAAAAAGAGAGTGAGCACCACTTTACCCAGAGTAATGAGGGAGAGTGCTGGCATGCAGCAGGGAAGTGCTGAGAAGCCATGGTGAGTGGAGACTCAAGGTGTGTGCATAAAACAACAGAAGCACCCGACATCTCCTGCTCCACACGCTCCTGCCCCACAACAGACAGTAGTTAGAAGACAAAGGGACTTCTTGCAGTGGGAAAAGGTGAGCAGAAGACTCCCAGAAATCCCACTGATATCACAGACACTTGACGTCTTTGAGTCCTGAGCCCACTCTTGGGAACTGCTGTGGCGTCCACATCACTGCAAAATCTCATACAGGAAGTCCTGCCGTATTCTGTTCTCCCTCTCCAGGCTCTGCTCTGAGCATCATCTTGAGGCTTGGCTCACCCATAGCCCATGCCTAGCCACACACCAAACCAACAAGCAGCCCCAACAAGCCAGAACCCACACCAACAGACAGGTGGCAAGTGGCCCCGTGCCCAGTCATGCTCCAGCATGGAAAGCAGGCCTGCTCAACCAGGGTCCATTAAGACAGGTCGGCCACTGGCCCATCCTCCCAGCCCACAGCTTACCCTCTGTCTCGATCCATACCCAAAGACGCAGGTGAACTACACCCACTCACAAAACTGCCCTGCTTTACGAGAGCTATATGATCCACAACCACAAATCCCTACAGTGCAGACCACCGAGGTGCTCACACACATTGCTGACAATGAACACAGCTGAAGAAGCTGCACAGAGACTATACTGTTTGTCCCCCCAGAACCAAAGCCAACACACCCTACACAACTGACGTCCCAGAACCCATAACCAGGAGAAAGTTTTTCACCATAAAAGTCGTACTACAAAATTAGTGGAGGCACCTTTCTATCAGATGCACACATATTAATGTAGGGACACAAGAAACATGAAAAAGCAAGATAACATGAAACTCCTGAAGGAAAACATTAATTTTCTAGTAATAGACCACAAAGAAATCTATGAACTGCCTCAAAAGAAACTCAAACTAATGACCTTGAAGAAATTCAGAGGGGGCCAGCAAGTGGTGTGGTGGTTGGCAGTGCTGGACTCACACATGGCCAACAACGGTTCGAGTCCCAGACCTGGCAGCTTCTTTTCTCACTTTTCGTCTCTCTCTCACTCTATCCCTCTCTGGTCAAATTAAAATAAGCAAATAAATAAATAAATAATTCTTAAAAAAACATATATATAAATGACAAATTCAATAAACAAAATAAAAAATAAGACTGAAAACATCAACAACAGACTAAATCAAGCAGCAGAAAGAATGTCTGAACTTGAAGATAGGTCATCTGAAATAACACAACCAGAAAGAGAGAGAGGCCAGGTGGTGGCCCAGTGGCAACTGCAACCGGATAGCCCTGGGAAGGGCCTGGGACTCCCTGCGCACTCTGGGGGTGTCCACGTGCCCATGACCTGGGGTGGCTAAGCCTTGGGGTGTGGAGACCTTGGTGGAGACGCCTGTCTCTGTCTTTTTCATGGAAGAAATAAACAAGTAAACTTAAAAAAAAAAGAAAGAAAAAATAAAATGAAATGTATTAGATTTGTGGGACACCACCATAAAGCCAAAAAAAAAAAAAAAAAAAAAAACAAAACCTGGCATTATATTCGTGCCAGATGGGAAGAGATGGGCAGGTGGGCAAAGGCAGAGAAAATGTATTTAATGAAATAATAGCAATAATATTGTCTTGGAAATAATATAGACATCTAGATGAATATCTTTTTTAAAATTTTATTTTATTGAGCTTTATTTTATATATTTGCTTTAGTTATTTGACCAGAAAGGGACAGAGAAAGACAGAGAGAGAGAGAGAGAGAGAGAGAGAGAGAGAGAGAGAGAGAGAGGAAAAAAAGAGAGAGAGAGAGGTGAGAAAGCAAGCCACCAGGTCCAGGACTTGAACCATGGTCAGCCACGCGGGAATCAAGTACTCTTAACCACCACGCCACCTGCCGGCCCCAGATCCAAAAATTTCAAAGGTCCCCAAGTAAGCGACATAAAAAAGGCTATCTCTGAGGTAAAATTTCAAAAGTCCAAGATGTGGGCTGGCCCTGTAACAGAAGTTTAGCATTCTGCATAGAAAACCAGATCCCACATGGCTGACCACAGTTTAAATCCTGAATCTTGGTCCCAGCAACCTGAAAATCATGCCAGGTGCATGCCCAAAATCCTGATGGGGTTGAGAAATGGAGGACAAAGGACTGCAGCTTGATTATACCCCACTGGGGAGTGCCTTCTCTTTCTCTGGTGAGTGGACATAAAATGAACAAGCAAAACAACGGAGAAACCCCGGCAGGCCGGCATAATAAAATTCAGTACCTCCGGCACAGCAAACACCCATTACTCAGTACTACAGGGAAGCTTCAAAAGCAGAATTCCTAGATGCCAGTCAACCAGCAGTCAACCCAATATGCAGTCACTTCAAAAGACAGCTAATCCAGACCTCTGCTGACCATTTTCTGCACAAAGTATCTTAAGGAAAATCCTAGCATAAAATGCCTAGGTTCTGTATAAGCAAAATTACAAAATTAACCGAGGGAAATAAAAAAACATTCAAGATAAAAAACCAAAAGCATTTCAGCAAGTCTACTGCTGTCTTTGGATCGATACTACTCAACAGAACTTTCTGTGATGATGGAAATGTTCTTCGTATGTATTCTCCAATCTCACAGGCAATAACCACATGTAGGTACTGACCGAGCACAAATTAGTATTTGCAGCTCTTCTCGGTAGCTGCTAAAACAATCTTCTAGAAGTTTTTTTTTTTTTTTTTTAATTTCTTTCAAGAAAGAGATAAGGGGCACCCCAATGAGATCCTCACACTGCACCCCTAGTCTCAGCTGGCCCAGATCACAGGCAGACATGCACCCAGCATCCTCAGGGAGGCCTCAGGACACAGACCCAGGACCTTTCCCATGTGGATCCCGTTGTGTTATCACTGCGCCATCATTTGACTCTTAAAACAATTTTTATAATTAAAATGGTAACTACAGTCTCATCAGGTTTTAAAAACAATAAACACAGTCAAACTGAAACAAATACTGAGGCAAAATGAAAAACTGAGGTCAGAAGGCAAGTGGGTAATGATCTTTATGGGTATAATATAGAAATTCATGCCAACTCATAGATCTCTAGCTCTCAGAATAGTTTTTCACAGTGGTTCTCAACCAGGGATGACTCTGCCCTCCAGGGAACATTAGACAATGTCTAGAGACATTTTGTTCAAGATCAGGGATGCTGCTAGATGCTCTGCCATACACAACACAACTCACCACAAGCAGTTATGTGGCCCACAAGCCTCTACCTGAGAACACGGCATCTGGAGACTCATCTAAAAATGCAACAGCACTGGGACCAGCAGATGGCATAATGGTTACGTCACTGAACTCCCACATAGTTGACTGTGGCTTGAGTCCCGTTTGTACACAAAATCCTGAGAAGGGACTGGAAGAGAAGGGATTGCAGCATGGCCATCCTCCCTAGGGGGTGATTTCTTGCTTTCTGTCTTTCTGTCTCTGGCGAGCACACATGCCCTATAGCAAAACCTCTCTTAAAAGAAAAAATAAATAAAATGCAACCATATTAAGTGAGATGGTTTTAAAGTACAACTTCCTAGACACTCTGTGAAATCTGGTTTCTTTTTTAGTCTCTACTATCAATATTTCAAGAAACCTAACCTTTCAAAACAGAAGTATAATATTAAGAGATTTATCGTTATTATATTTCATCTCAGTACTGTATCCTATTTTAGTTCCATGAGTTTAGGATCTGAGAAAGTTTTGAAATTTGCTGTATTCTTACTGTCTGGGAGCTGAAAAGGAGGGAATTTTTTTTTTAAAGAGATGAGCAAGTAAAGGAGATTACTAACTGGACTTCTCTGTCCAATACAGCACGGTCATTGTAGCCAGTGGTGTTAGAAATGACAAAGTATCTTTGGTTCCAAACAGAATTATTTCTCACATCCTCTTTGAGAAGTTGGTCTACATACTGCAGCTCATTATCCCAAAGTTTAAATTCCTAAAAGAAAAACAAAATCCAATTAGAAATGCCCCATTATAAGTAATAAAAATAAGTAAAACTTTAGTGAAGAATGTAGAACTGAAGATGTAGGATTTAGCACATATCTGGAGGGAAGTGATAACTTCAAGTCAAGGAAATGGAAGAAGATAAAAATACGAAATTGAGAGTAAAGCCTGGGAAGATATAGGGAGAGCAGGAAAGAAGGCATCAAAGAAAATTCAGAGGGAAAACTCACTACCAAAAGGAGTAGCTTTAGTACATATAACATTAGAAAGGGGCAGCATTAAAAACGTACATACGTGATAAAATTCATTAAGACGCATGTAGAGGGACCAGCATATAGTGTAATGGTTACGTGGCTGGACTCCCACGGAGTCGAGTGCAGTGCAAGTCCCAGACCCAGTGGCTCAGAACTCATGCTGGGCACGTGTGTGTGTGTGTGTGTGCCCAAAATTGCAAGAGGAGACTGGAGAAGGGATAGCAGTGTGGCCGTGCCCCTGAGAGAGGGGAAGAGAGAAAGCAGCCCCCATGGGGATGGTCACAGCACAACCGCTTTTCCATGTCTCCTTTCAGGATTCTGGGAATACACACGCATCCGTGTGGCATGTTTTTCAAGCTACCGGGTCTGGGACTCCAACTGTGCAGGTGCCTATGTGGGATCCAGCCACCTGAACCCCCATACCACCACTTGGTCCATAAAGCTACTTTAATTAAAAGGGAAAAAAAAAAAGAGGAAGAGAACCAACACATAATTGCAAAAAAAATGGCCAAAACTTACAAATGCTTCAAAAGTTAGAGACGTTAACTATGAAAAAGCTAATGAAGACAGACAGACAAACAGACAGACACACGTATACACACACTTTTTTTTTTTTTTGAAGAGAAAAGGCATACACGCAGGAGGAGGCAGCAGAGACAGGTATTTCCACACGGTCTTCCCATTGTGATCCTCTGCACCAACCTCCTCGTTAGGTAGGGTCACAAGCCTGCTTTAGGTTGGTCTGGGAACTAAACATGGGCCTCCTACGTGGCCGCAGCCTCACGCAGTAGTGCTCTAACCACTTGTGCCACCATGGGTGGGCCTGGAGTTGTATTTCTTATTTAATAACAGCAAACAATTAAGAATCTTAATGATAATCTTTGATTTTATAGGTGATAAAAATAATGCATCAGGAAAGGTAACCTTTCTGTGAAAACTCCTGCGTGTTGGTAAGTGCTGGAGTTGAGTGATATTAGCGTGCAGACTATGTACTAATCTTGTAACACAAACCAAGGGGTTACTACAACACAACTGAGGCATATTTTGGAATCTTTTTTTTTAAAGATTTATTTATTTATTTAGTTCACATGGGTTGTGCCAGAGAAAGATGAGAGAGAGTTGGAAAGCAAGCTGCCAGGTCTGGGACTTGAACTACGGTTGGCTATGTGGGAGTCCAGCGCCCTTACCCACCATGCCACCTGCCAGCCCCCGTGATTTTCAAGCCACTGGGTCTGGGACTTGAACTGAAGTCAGCTATTTGGGAGTCCAGCACCCCATCCACCTCACCACTTGCTGGCCCCTATAATATATACTTTCATATGACTAAAGTTTTCATTAAAAAACTAAAAATACTGAATCTTTAGAAAATGTATCCTTTCAATCAATCTGGAAAACTTTAACATTTTAAGTAAAAAATTTTGGTACAATATACTTGGTATAACGGAAGTACAGAAAGTAGTAATCCCTGAAAAAAATTCACAGAAAACAATACTAGAATTGTTTACTGTAAGAGATGAAATACCAAGTGGGAGTTGTAACTACTCAAGATTTAGCATACAATTTTAACACATAGTTAAAAATAAAATATATAATACTGAAAAGTCATATTCCAAAGTTTATATACAAAACTTATGTAATTTGTTCTTGTTAATTAAAATACAACTATATTACTTTACTATTTTTCATACTTATTAGCAAATATAAGGTATTATGTAAATTCAATCTAAAAAATATTAAGTTTCCTATTCTTCACTATGAAGCTCCTCCCCTACAGAGCCAAAGAGCTTAGAGAGAGGTTAACCAACCTGAAAGTTGTTGGGTTTTAATTCAATACCTTAATAATTTGTAATTATTATTTTATGTAATAATCTACTGTGTTTTGGTTTAAAATTATACTTTAATAGTAACTTTAGTTATTTAATTCAGCTAAAAAAAATTAAAATTTGAAAAACACAGTAACAAAAAAGGCAATACCTGAATAACCCACTGTCGGTGCTGCCAGGCATGGTAATTCTTTGCATCCTGATTGAGAATATCAGCAATAAACTCCAGCTCCTGAGATGGGTCTTTCAGCCATTCCACTAAAACTCGCCTATGGTGCCTGAAGTCCAGAGAAGAGAGAGAGGTTTCTGTTAATTCATTCAAAGCCTAAAATAACAGCTGCATGTATTGATCTAGATGGTGTGGAAGGACACTCCAACACAAAAATCCATCTCTTACTCTCAAGATTCCACTGGAGAAGAACGATAACACGAAAGAGAGAAAAAAATTCCACAACACTAAAGAAAGTCGAGAAACAAAAAATCGTGACTTGTAAGATACCTGGGGCTAAGAGGTTTATCTCAGGCTAAATCTGGAGGTAGAGTCATCTTTTGCTGGGCACAAGAGTCTGTGTTTTCTCTACTTACACAGTCTGTCAGTGTTCCATACGTCTAAAGTATCCCCAAGCAACCTCCCATTATTACACCAGTTAGTGGGCAGAACTGAATTCATTTCTACCTGATCAGCAGCTGAGACAAGTTCCAAGTCTGTCAAAAGAGGAGTTTCTGGGGACCAGCAGATGGTGTAATGGTTACACTGCTTGGGTCTGGGACCAGCGGCTTAAATCTCATGCTGGCACGTGTGTGCGTGCCCAAAATACCGAGGAGAATGGAGAAGGGACTGTGGCACAGCCATCCCCGCTGGGGGATGATTCTCACTTTCCATCTCTCTGGTGAGTGCACATGCTCCATATGGGTGGTGCCCATGCTCCATAGAAAAAAAAAAAAAAAAAAAAAAAGGAGTTTCTGTACTAGGAAAATACTTCTCAGAGTTTTATACTGGATTCCGTTTTTATAAAATGTTTTTCCTGAAATATATGTATATATTTTTTGAGAGGTTTTTACTATAGGGGATGTGTGCTCGCCAGAAATAGAGACAGAAAGTGGGAAATCGCTCCCAGGGGGAATGGCCATGCTCCAATCCCTTCTGCAATCCCTTCTCCTCCATTTTCCTCTCAGGATCTCAGGCACAAACGCACACATGCCTGGTGTGAGTTTAAGCCACCAGGTCCGGGACTCAAACTACAGTTGACTACATGGGAGTCCAGTGACATAGCCATTACACCAACTGCTGGTCCCAAGCTAAAAACTTATAAAAATCTATTAGTGAAAACATTCAAAAATTCACTGTAGTGCGGTTTGCACATATATGTAAATATACCAAAAACCAACAAATTGTACACTACAAACGAGTAAAATGTGTATGTGAAGTACAGTTCGATAAAGCAGATTTTTAAAAAAAATCTAGTATTCATTATACTGTGAAGAATTATAGAAGAAAGGGAAAGATCTAATGCTAAACAAATGACCTATTCCATATGCATAAAAAAGTTAAAAACTCACCGTACAGAATCTTATGACAAGATATACCAAGAAGATCCTAGGAGGAAAGGTTTCTAAAGGGCTGTCAGTGAATAGTACTAGCATTTTATTTTTTCAAGTTCCTAATAAATTCTATAATTCAGGAAAAGGTTACAAATTAGGTCCTTTGGTGTATCAAATTGTCTCCTTGGAACAAAACATGAATGTCTTTCTGATGTTCTGAGTTAAAGAATATTAAACACAAGGGTTTACCCACTAGCATAGATGTGCAGTGAGAATGGAGTGAAAGGCGGTCAGCAATGAGCATGCGGGATCTGCACTACTTGTACTACACCGGCTATAAAAGGAACTAAAATGTACCGTAATTAAAAACTGCTGGGTTTCCAATAGCGCTGCTTCAGGTGGTTTGTTTTGATTTTCCTACAATGAGTGACAAGGTACTGTAGTATCTAGATTTCTCTTGAGCAAAAACTAGAAATAAGTATGGAGAACATTTGTGACATCTAGATTTTTAAAATTTATTCATTCTTTTTTTTAATTTGACCAGAGAGAGAGAGACACACACACACACAGACAGAAAGAGAGGGAAAGTGAGAAAGTAAGCCCCCAGATCTAGGACTTGAACCGTGGTCAGCCATGTAGGAGTGTCCAGCACCTTAACCACCATGCCACCTGCTGGTCCCCGTGACATCAAGATTTTATAGCTATAGATTTTTATATAAAAAGCACCTTAATTCCACATGGCAAGTAACTTTTCAGTGAGGGTCTAAAACTGTAGATAATCTCTTATCACTGAAAGGACTATCCTATAATGCAGTTTTTAGGAATTAGGAATGCAGAAACCTCCAGTTACACATGAAGAAGCTATAGTGGTAAAGTTAACACTCTTCAAACACAGGTGTGTACACCAGTTACCCCTTTAATTTTTTACCCAATAATGCCAATCATTCACTGTTAGGTCCGTATGATCTAGTTCTTTGAAATTAATTACCTATGCATGGTACCAACTACCTGTGGATAGCATTTGATGATGCAAGTTACCATCATCCATGTGCCAGAGGGCAGCTCGCACCCTCGTCTGTCCACATTTAGGAGGAAGGTATCCTCCTACAGTGATCTATGCAATGGCCCCTTCCCAACTAAAAGCCTTCACTCTACTTCCCTTTTCCTCCAGAATTCTCAACCTACCTTTTGTATAAACACTCTCCCCTCACTATGAAGTCCTTACCACCTTGGAAAAAAAGACAAAAACACAGGCCTGACCTTGCTGTCTTTATTTCTCAACAACCAAATTTCTTCGTCTCTCATCTACAATCCGGCCCACTGCTGTGACTTCTTTCCTCTTCCCACCACTTCCCTCCTGCCCACCCGGTCACCCACCCCCAACCCTGTGGGAGTTTAGCTACCATCGAACTAATCCACTGGTCACTCAGTTTTCACTCCTAACTTCTTTGACCTCTCTCCAGTGGTTGATACCGATATCCACTCCTTTCTCCTTTTTTTTTTTTAAGAGGTTTTTGCCATAGGGCGCGTACGCTTGCCAGACAGAGAGAGACAAAGAGACAGAAAGCGAGAAATCACCCCCCAGGGGGATGGCCACACCGCAATCCCTTCTCCTCATTCTCCTCTCGGGATCTTGGGCATACATGCACACGAGCAACCTGAGTTTTAAGCCACTGGGTTCGGGATGCGAACCGCGGTCAACTACGTGGGAGTTCAGCGACATAGCCATTATGCTAACTGCTGGTCCCCATTCCTTTCTCTTGAACTCTCTTCTTTTTGATTTCTGCAACATGTTCTCACCCACCCAGGAACACGTCTCTGCTTCTCAATGACTGTGCTCAGTGCTGTTCTCCAGCCTAATTCTGTCTGAGCACCTCGTTCACAACTAGGACCTCAGCAACCACTGTCAGGAAGCAGACAGCCCCACATCTTGCTCCGACTCCCTACTGCTTCTCACTCTAGACGAGTATCCTTCAACCACTGACCTGACAGCCTTACACAGGTTTTCCAGAAGCACGTTAAACTCCACTGCCTAATACCAGCCCCATCTTTTCCCCCAAAACACAGTTCTGCCTCCTAAATTCTCCAAGCAGATGGCACCACCATTCGCTAGTTGTCAGGTCAGAAATATAGGTGTCAGTCTTCTCTGTCACTTCCTCAATAAATTAAACTTCAAAACCAGTTGCTTTCATTTTGAAATGTATTTCCAAATATACTCATCACATTTGAAGCCCCATTTCTTCTATCCTATACCACTGCAATGGCCTATCCACCTCCAGGACTGTGAACCTACTCCAGTCCATCCTTCCTGGTTGCAAAAAAGACAAAACAATGCTAACTCCGGCACGGTGAGCCGGCACTCAGTGGCAAAGAGGAGCCAGCTCATGGCGGAATGCCATGCTGCCACTTCTCCTTTGCCACCTTCCCCACCCCAGCACCAGTAACAGCCATAGCAGTTACCATTCACGGGCGACTCGCTATAAGCTGGGTACTGTCCAAACTCTCTTTCTTTCTTTCTTGTTCTCTGTCCTCCTGTTCCACAACCTTTCTCTTTTTTCCTGCTGTGTTCTGCTACCCCCGCCCATAACAATCTCCATATTCTTGTCCGAGTTACCTTGGGGGCTTCATTCCTAGAACAGACACAGCCTATGAAAACTTTACCATTATGCTTTCTACGCTGCTCTGCAAAATAACTGGCCTTATTATTTGTTTTCCTTTAGACTATGTTTGGTTCATCTTTGTATTGCAAGCATCAATAAAAGTTTTTTATTTTGATAAACAAAGGAATAAAAAAATCAGTCATTTTATAACATACTAAAGAGGAAATCTATTTCAGATTTTTCAATCAAAATTTTTCCAGTGATAGCAGTATTGCATACTGATGCCGAAACTCTGAAAAACAGCAGATAATATATGAGTGTGAACCAGGGTCAGGTACCCTGTTGATCACTAACGATGAAGTTATATCTTTAATTCTCCTAATAATCCTATGAGGCAGGTAACATTAGCTCCAACATAAGTTACAAAAACTACACACACACCAAAACCCAAAAATTTCCCTATAATCTCATCATCCATTGGCAAGTATTATTAGCATTTTGATCTATTTCGTCCCTATTTTTAGCTTACCAAACTTGATAGTTTTTGGGCTGCTCCTCAATTATTGCTGTGATGTAGTTCATTTCCTCATACAGATCCTTTTGAAGTGACTTCAAGAGAACTCTCCGAAAATGCCTGCAGCAAACCAGCACCCAGCAGTATCACATAAAGATACAAGACAGTAACACAGTTAGACGGTCTTCGGTAGGCACTCTACATAACCAGTAACGCAGCAACTTAACTGCTCATGGTTACTCAATTCAGAAAACCATGACTGCAAGAATCAAGCATTTTAGGTAAAAACAGTAAAAGGCAATGAATATGAAATTTAAAAAAGTAAACTTCTTAAACTTAAGGGAATGAAGGAAACAACTAAATTATATTCTGACTGCTAGAGTTCTATAACATAAGAACATGGTACAGCTTTTCAGTGTACAGACATGATTAACACAACAAATGAACTCTATCACAAGTGTTATTAAAATACTGACTTTTAGAACCCCAACAAAAATCAAGAAAAAAAAAGACATGGGATCAAAGAAACACAGGATCTCACACACGAAAGAGCTGAAGACCAGATACACAGCAACCAAAATAGTCATAAAGAAAAAAAGGAAGTAAGACCCAGAACTGAAGGATTAGCAGTTGTGTTCAACATAATGAACCATTTTACATGTATCAGAGTCTGGCAGACAAATTATTTATTGGTAGAAAGAAAACTAAACCAAATAAAAAAGCGATCCGTTAAAAGGAATGTAATTATAATAATGTAACATCTGGGTCAGTAATGACCATAAACTGACTACTCATTAGTGATGACAGGAGGGTAGTGGAGAGTCAACTCTATCTTTCATAGAAGAAACAGAAAATGTCTAAAATAAAAAATATTAAAAATAACAATGAAAGGAACCAGCAGTTGGCATAATGGCTATGTCGCTGGACTCCCATGTAGTTGATCGCGGTCCAAGTCCCAGACCCAATGGCTTAAACTCACGCTGGGTGCATGTCTGTGCATGCCCAAGATCCCGAGAGGAGAATGGAGGAGAAGGGATTGCAGCGTGGCCATTCCCCCTGGGGGGTGATTTCTTGCTTTCTGTCTCTCTCTGGTCTTTCTGGTGAGCACACACGCCCCATAGCAAAAACCTCTTCAAGAAAATAACAACAATGAAGAATATTATCTAGAATACAGAGGTTAATTCAAGCTGAGAGTTGCTGTCTCAGGGGAGTAGGACTATGGCGACATGAAATGATGGGGCAGAGATCACTACTTACCATTTAACTTCTAAATTTTAAACTGGTATGTGAATTATTTCTTTGATAACAATTAAAACTCGAGTTTAAAAAAAAAAGAAAAGCACTCAAATAATAAACGCACTAAACAAAAAAAGGACACTCCAAAAGAATAAGGTACCAGGGGCCAGCATGGGGGTCAAGGCACTGGATCCCACACGGCCAGCTGTGCAATTGGCGGTTTGTGTCCTGGACCTGGCAGCTTAAAAATCATGCAAAGTACATGTGCATGCATGCCCAAAATCTCAAGAAGAAACTGGAGGAAAAGGGACTGTAGCGGGGCCATCGCCCAGTGGGTGATATCTCACTTTCTCTCTCATGTGCCTGATAGCAAAAACTTAAAAAAAAAAAAAAAAAAGAGTCGGACGTGAGACATTCAGGCAGGTAGTATTAGTGAGGTACAGTACTTACCACACCGTATAATTGGCTGCATTTAACTCAATAGCATCTCGTGTTAACTTAAAAGCTCGTTCACTTCTTTCATCACGCTGCAGAACAGCTCGGAAATAATCATAGACGTCTCTAACTGGAGACAGAGCACACAACCACATTAGGGCTTTTTCTTATTTAAAACTAGCACTAAAATATAACATGCTGTTAGGCCTGGGGGAAAAGCTACTTCACATACATCTATATCACACGATTAAACGAAATAAACAGTCAAATGTCTGTGGCTGCGACTCTCACGATCCTCCAGGGTCACAGGCACAGAGAGTGGGCTACATGTGTACAACCACACAGACTGCTCCCGTGTATGGGTTAGGCCAGGTTCCAAATCTCCCAAAGACCTTACGTAGAAAATAAAATTGAGAATGTGCATATTCAAATATATTCACTTAGCTGCTTTTCTCCAATTTCATTTAAGTCAAATTTTAACTGAAAAATATGCACAATGGAACCCAAACAGTACAAAAAGGTCCACACTAAATTTCCATTCCACGCAATTTTAAGTCTTCATCTTCAGATGCAGCCACTATTAACTGATCTCATAACAAACAGTATATCCTTCCAAATACACCCTACACATACCACGTACAGGCCTAATTCCACTCACCTTTTTGTTTTAACACAGGTGATATCATGTCACATTTAATGTTCTGAACCCTGCGTTTTCTTTTTTTTTTTCTTCCCCTTTGGATAGGTTTTTGCTATAGGGCGCGTGCGCATGCCAGACAGAGACATAGAGACAGAAAGCGAGAAATCTCCCCCCCCAGGGGGGATGGTCACGCCGCAATCACTTCTCCTCCATTCTCCTCTCAGGATCCTGGGCATGCACGCACATGCGCCCGGCGTGAGTTCTAGGCCACCGGATCCGGGATGCGAACCGTGGTTGACTACGTGGGAGTCCAGCAACATAGCCATTATGCTAACTGCTGGTTCCCTGAACCCTGCGTTTTTACTCAGACATTATTAAAGGCAGTGTAAACTAGCATGAATGTCTATGGAAAATCATTTGGTCCTATCTAATAAATTTAAATACTCAATGACCCAACAAGTCCAGTTTCAGAAAGTTTCCTTACAAATATACTCCCACATGTGTGTGAAACATAAAGATATTTACTCCAATACTTGGTTATATAAAAAAAGAACTGTGCAGAGGGTCACAGGAATCCCCAATTTATAGCTAAGACAGACAACAGATGTCAGAAATGTGGAGTACAGGATGCTAACTTGGTGTCCACAAAGAACTTAAGAATTGCTTGGTGTGGAAGACCCAGCTACTATTTGGGTATGGGGCCAGGCTGCAGAATGGTGGTGAAGGTGGCTGGACCCCACATGGCTGACTGTGCAGTTTGAATCCTGGAAAATCACACAAGCCGTGTACATGTGCATATGTCCCAAATCCCTAAAGGAGGGATGGAGGGCAAGGAATTGTGGCATGACCATTCCCCACAGGTGGGGAGTCTGCTTCCTCACCCCTTGCCTGGTCTCTCTCCCACAAGCATAGACACTCTCTATAGACTTTAAAAAAAAAAAAAAAGTATAGAGAAACATTTTTTTCCTTTTGGACTATAACCCTGAAGGTGAACACAAGTAATTACTGTTGTTTACAATTCTAAGACATATGAAGGGTACCTGCTTCTAAACACTATATTCAAAAAGTTGAAATTTAGGTGCCAGCCTATGGCCTGGTAGTTAAAGGAGCTGGATCTCCACGGTCACCTCACAACTCAAGTCCTAGACCCAGCAGCTTGAAAAACACACTATGTGTGTGTGCCCTAAATCCCAAAAGGACCAAGAAATGGAGGAGGGACTGCAATATGACCGTTCCCCTTGGGAGCTGCTTTGCTCCTTTCCCTTTCTCTGCCTCACACATGCACTGTCTGGCAAATGAAAAAAATAAAGTTGGATTTAATTCGCTTTAGAGTAAAATTTAGAAATAACATAAATGGGGCCAGTCGGTGGTATGGTGGTTAAGGAAGCTAGATCCCACATGGCCGACTGTGTGGTTCAAGTCTCAGATTTGGCGGCCTAAGGAGCATGCTGGGTATGTGCATCCGTGTGCCTAAAGTCCCGGGAAGAGAAGAAACTGCATTATGACCGCCCCCACGGGGGCAGGAGTGCTTTCTCACCTTCCCTTGTGTGCGCTCTCTCTTTCCAGCGAACACACGCCCGCTGGCAAATTAAGAAAAAGGTAGCAATATAAATGCCAACTTAATGACTTAGGCAGTCATTAAGAACCAAGCTTCGGAATCATTTCAATTTATAACGAAGTGATTACAACCTGTTAACCTGACATGTAGAATACATAGCTGGCCTTCCCTATCTGCAGGTTCTGCTTCCAGGAATTCAACCTAATATGGATTGAAGAGACTCAGAAACAGATAAGTAAAAAAATAACACATGAATAATTCACACTGTACTAGCTATTACAAGTCATCAAGAAAAGACTTAAATATGTGGGGGTCCTGGAACCCCCACGTACACCAAGGGATGACTCTGAGCCAAATACGTTCTATTGTTTCACGTGACTATCGCACTCAAGCTATAAAGTAGTCACTGCCTTCAGCCTCATTTCACACAGGCAGGAACAGAAGTACAGAGAGGTTTTATGAACTCGTCCAAGGCTACAGAGCCAGGAAAATGAAGTCAGAATTGGAACCCGAGGGTCTGGCTTCACAGCCTATGCTCTTAACCTGGTAGTGCATATTTCTGATGCCTCGGTGAATCCAGGTACAGAACTAGGAGCAGCTCTGCAAGGCTGTAGGATAAGGCATTTTCCAGTTTTTACAGCTATCCACACCACTTCTGAAGTGGGCAGACATATGAAAACTACCATCTGAAATGTATAAATCTATCATGTACCTTATTAACTGACATAAGACAGGGCTAATTTTTACCATTTAATTCACATTCACAATGGGTAGAATACAGCATTCTCAGTTTAATATGTGTATCATTCATTCCTAATGATAAGACAATGGAATTTTCTTTTTTGTAAACTGCAGGTTCATACCCTTTGAAGTTTTTTTTTAAAGAATTATTTTATTTAAATTTATTTATTAATTTATTTTAATTTGTCCAGAGAGGGACAGAGTGAGGGAGTGAGAGTGAGAGTGAGAGTGAGAGTGAGAGGAGAGGAGAGAGAGAGAGAGAGAGGGAGAGAACACAAGCGGACAGACCCAAAAACAGGTCCACAACAGGACCAAACCATGGCCAACCATGTGGAGTCCAGCGCCCTTAACTACCATGCCACCTGCTGGCCCCATACCTTCTGAAGTTTTTTATAAGGCTGTCTATCTCCTTACCCTTTTGTAGGAATTTTTTTTTTTTTTAAGAATTATTTAACTTTATTTATTTTCTTTTTTTGGAGAGGTTTCTGCTACAGGGTGCGTGCGCTTGCCAGACAGACAGAGAGAGACAGAGAGACAGAAAGCGAGAAATCATCCCCTAGGGGGGATGGCCACGCTGCAATCCCTTCTCCTCCATTCTTCTCTCGGGATCTTGGGCACGCATGCATACGCGCCCGACATGAGTTTTACCCACCGGGTCCGGGACACGAACCATGGTCGACTACGTGGGAGTCCAGTGACAGCCATAATGTTAACTGCTGGTCCCTTTATTTATGTTTTTTAACTTGACCAGAGAGGGACAGAGCAAGAGAGAGAGGAGGGGAGGGGGAGGAGAGGGGAAGGGAAGGGGGAGAGAGAGAGAGAGGGAGAGAAAGAAAGCAGGCCACCAGGTCCAGGACTTGAATCGTGGTTGACCATGTGGGAGTCCAGTGCCCTTAACCACCATGCCACATGACAACCCTAAATTTTTTTTATAAAATTCTGAATACCAATCCTTTTTCACATGGTTTATCTTTCCCCACAGTGCTGCTTGTTTTATAACTTGTATATGGTTTCTTTTCCTATATAACCTTTTAAAAATAAAAAACATTTTGCCTGAGGGTACACGCACTCACCAGAGAGGGACAGAGAGGGAGAGCGCACTAGAATGGGGAAGGGTCGTGCTGCAATTCCTTCTCTTCCATTTCTCCCCCCTCTTGGGATTATGGAGCTGCATGCACACACGCCCAGTTTGATTGCCAAGCTGCCAGGTCCAGGAATTGAACTGTGAGGGCAGCCATCTGGGATCCAGTTCCCTTAACTACCAGGCCACGAAGCAGGCCTTGTTGTGTAAGTTTTAAGTTTTGATGTATTTATCAATATTGATAGGATCAATTTACGTATCTTTTCCTTTGCAGGTTCTAGTCATGGCATAAGTAAAAATTTAAATGTTAATTCTGGGTGTGGGGCCAGTAGGTGGTATGGTAGTCAGGACTCTGGGCTCCCACATAGCTGACCACAGGTCATGTCCCAGACTTGGTGGCTTGCTTCCTTGCTTTCTCACATTCCCTTTCTTTCTCTGTCTCTTTCTTGTCAAATTAAAATAATAACAATAACAAATAAGATATTAAATAATAAATGTTGTAAAAAGTAAAAATAAATGTTAATTTTGTATTCTGAAAAAAAGATTAATAATTTACCCCTAATGGAAATGCATGCTTGTAACAGTTTCCCCAGCATCTTTATTATAGGTACTTAAGAATCACAGCAACTCCTTCCTTCCTTCCTTCCTTCCTTCCTTCCTTCCTTCCTTCCTTCCTTCCTTCCTTCTGCTATAGGACAAGTGCACTCATGGGAGAGAGAAAGACAGAAAGTAAAAAATCAACCCCCCAGGAGAGATGGTCATGGTACCATCCCTTCTCCTCTCAGAATTTCTGGACAACCCCTCACATACACACACACCCAGCATGTTCTTCAGGCCTATAGGTCCAGGACTTGAACCACGGGGTTGGCCTTGTGGGATCCGGCACCTTAACTACCATGCCACCTGCTGGTCCTACTTTTACACTGTTTAATGAACTGTCTTCTCACATATAATCTCTCCCCAAGTAGGGAAGCTTTGCTTTTCTATGCAATTATAAATTCTGACCTTTTCCTTAATCAATTCTGAGTTCTACATTTGCCTAATAATACCTTCTCCATTCCAAGAATGAAAGATTATTCTCTTATACTTGCTTTCAGTATGTTTATACTTTTTTCCTTTAAAGAGAGATTTTTGCTATAGGGCACATGTGCTCACTGGAGAGACAGTAGTTTTAATCTACAGGCATGTATCCCTTCACTATGGGAACACATTCTAAGACACATGCTATTAGCATGGATTCATTCTAAGACGCATGCTATCGGCATGGATTCAGGCAAACCTGCTGTGAGGTGTGCAGCCCAGCGCACATGCAGCAGCATGGCACAGCCTTAGAATATGTTATGGCACCGGTCGTACATGCAGTCCCGCACTGACAAAATGTCACTATGTGACACACGGCTGTATTTATTTGTCCCTGTTCCACATGTTAATTACTAAGTTTAGCAATACATTTTCATATTTGATGAGGCAAACTCCCACACCATTAGTCTTCCTTTTCAAACACTGCTAGCCATTACTGCATACTAGAAAAAACAATGGTTTTTTAACAGAAGAATGACATGGGATAACAAAGGCTCAACTGAAAAATAGATATGTACACATAAAATTACAAAACTAGCATTTTTACTTTAACCAGTTACCCTTTCCTAGAACAACTAACAATTAACGTTTCCATGACCTTCAATTTAGAAAGCATTTTCACATTCATTATGAAAGAATACTTTGTCAAAGAAAATAATCCATTCATTTTAACATCAGGAATCATATTCAAACTGAGTCTAACAGTGCCAAAATATACTTCAAAATGCTGATGTTTCAGCAACCCAAGTTCATCCTAAATAAAACAGTAACTCATTTATGTTGTAGCTTACATGCAGATTAAATAGCAAATGAAAAGCACATTTATTAACTATTATGTATTATAATATTCAATACTAAGAATATGTCCACTCTTTGGACAGCAATAAAACTTTTCATTATGAAAATAAATCACAAAAAAACTATAACACGAACTCATCTTAGGTCATTCGGATCTTTATGAGACAAAATCTGTCACATACCTTGCTACGTAATTGTGAATTTCAAGTTTGCTACTAAGTTTGACTTACAGATTTTGTCCTAATGAAAAGAAACTTACATTTTTCACTATAGATGATCTGGACCACTGGATTGGGACCATCGTTCTGTGGCACCGGGTCTATGTCAGCCCATTCTGCTCTATCCCTGAAAATACACATTTTTTTAGTGATTACTTTCAAGCACATAAGAAAAAAAGAGCTTTGATTTTTTTAAAAAACATCAATAATTACACTTACATTAATGCTGATAATATACAGAAATCTTTTTTCCTTTGTAAATTAAAATTTTAAAATTTATTTATAATGATTTTACTTAACTTTATTTATTTTTAACTTGACTAGAGAAGGACAGAGTGAGAGAGAGAACGGGGAAAGTAAGAAAGAAAGCTGCCAGGTCAGGGGCTCAAACCATGGTCAGCCATGTGGGAATCCAGCACCCTTAACTACCATGCTATCTTCCAGCCCTAGAAATCTTTTTTTTTTTTGAGAGGTTTTTGCTATACGGCTAGTGCGCTCGCCAGAAAGACAGAGAGAGACAGAGAGCAAGAAATCACCCCCTGGAGGGTACGGCCATGCCATAATCCCTTCTTCCTCCATTCTCCTCTCAGGATCTTGGGCACACACGCACGCGTACCTGGCATGAGTTTAAGCCACCAGGTCCAGGACTTCAACCGTGGTCAACTACATGGGAGTCTAGCGATGTAGCCATTTCGCCATCTGCTGGTACCCAGAAATCTTTTTATTAAGAATTATTTTATTTAACTTCTTTCCTTCCTTCCTTTCTTTCTTTAAATTGTGACCAGAGCGGTGCGGGGGAGAGAAAAATCTTCCAGGTCCAGGACTCAAACCATGGTTGGCCATGTAGGAGTCCAGTGCCCTTAACCACCATGCCACCTGCTGGCCCCCACATATAGAAATCTTAGCATAATCATGGTCGGATTCTTCATGACCAAGTCTTGTCACTTTTTTTTACATATAAACTTTAAAAAAATTATTTATTATTATTCCAAACTTAACTATAGTGCACACGTGCTCACCAGAGAGAGATGAGAAAGAGAGAGAGAAAAAAAGAAAGTGAAAAAGCAAGGCACCAGGTCTGGGACTCAAACTGTGGTTGACCATGTGGGAGTTCAGCTACTTATTGACCGTGCCACCTGCTGGCCCTACATATAAATTTTTAAAGCAAAATTAAATAATCTTCTGATTAAAAAAAAGTTAATAAGCAGTTCTTAAAGTTTTCTAAGTAGAAAAATGTGATTTTGCAGCAACTACACAACAGTCTTAACTTAGAAGTCAATCTACCTCAGGAGCCAGCAGGTGGCATGGTGGTTAAAGGCACCAGACTACCGAATGGCCAACTAAAGTTCGAGTCCCGGACCTGGCGACTTGCTTTCTCTTTCTGTCCCTGCCTGGTTAAATTAAAATGAATAAAGAAATAAAGTTAAATAAAATAATTCTTTATAAAAAAAAGTCAATCCAACTCATTGGTCAAACAGGACTTTGGGGTCAATCAGAATTTTAAAAAATATGAACAACAATTTAGGAAATGACACAGGAAATTAAATAAACTTAGTTTACTGTGTGCCAGAAAGACAGCCCAGGTGATCATTAAGAGGACAGGCTCTACAACTGCTGAAGGTGAAATGCTGGCTCTAGCACTCACAGGCTGGGTGACCTCGAGAAAGTCACTTAACTGTCCACACTTCAGTTTCTTCATTTATAAAATGGAGATGATAATACAATTCTTGTTTGTCCACTCAGTTCCAGGACCACCTGCCTACTCCCACAGTAACCAAAATCCCCAGACACTCAAGTCCCTTATATAAAGCAGTGTAGGACTTGCACACAATCTACACACATGCTCCCGTACACTTTAAAACATCTCTAGATAGGGCCAGCAGGTGGCGTGGTGGTTAAGGGCACTGGACTCCCACATGGCTGAACACGGTTCAAGTCCCGAACCTGGCAGCTTGCTGCCTCACTTTCCCTTTCTCTCTCTCTCTCTGTTCAAATTAAAAAATAATAACAAATGGAATTAAATGAATAAATAAGTACTTAAAAAAATCTCTGTATCACTGATAACTCCTAATAGAATACAAATGCTACATAAATGGTTGTATTAGTTTTCACACTTGTCTTACTGAGATACAAATAGATACAGATTTTTTTCCTTTTAGATATTTCCCATCTGCAGTTGGTAGAATGCACAGGTGTGGAACCTAGCGACATGGAGGGTCCACTGTATCACCAACCAAACTTAAGAGGGCTGACTTTTTACTTTTTTAGAAGATTTATTTATTGTATTTATTATTATTTTAATTTGCTAATGTGCACTCACCAGAGAGAGACAGAGAGAGAGAGAAAGGAAAAGTGAAAAAGCAAGCCTCCAGGACCAGGACTCAAACCACAGGCGGTCATGTGGGAGTCCAGCATCTTAACTATCACACCACCTGCTGGCCCCTTCGAGGGTTGTTTTAAAGATTAAATAAGGTAACGGATGTTATGTTCTCAAGACGTGCTCAGTTACAGCAACTATCCAGTGGCTACTACTCATTATCAACGTTAAGATAATAAAACTTAGAAAGATGACTTTTTTAAAAAAAAGACTTATTAAATTTTATTATTATTTTTAACTTGCTAATGTGCGCTCACCAGAAAGAGACAAAGAGAGGGAAAGTGACACATCATCCTTCTAAATTGTCATTGTATAGTGACAACAATGGATGCTTATAGAAATGTGTGTGAATTGCCTAGTGTGACCAAATTTGTTTTAACGACTCTCCCCCCAACATTCTTTTCATTTCACCCACTCTTTACTCCTTTGTACTGATCAGCTGTTGACAGCTGAAACTCTGTAGCATCCAGACAATCCTGAAATTTTCTCTTACACAAGGAAAAATAGGAGGGAAACAGCTATCTGAGATGTGAAGCCTAAGGCCCGGAGGTGTGGCATAGGACAGGAAAAGCTGCCGTTTAGTCACTGGGAAATGTGATAGTCATGCAATGAACCTGAGTATTTCATAATCCAGAGCGAAGCTCTGGGGGTTATGGGGCCTCCACAACCCCTTTAAGTCAGAAAAATATTAACTCTAATAAAAAAAAAATCTGGATTGTGACTTTCATTCATTGATACAAATCTAGGCGAATAAGCCTTCTGATGGGTTTACCTACAACTACAGAAGAGTAAGGATTTCTGGATTATCTCTGCAGGAAAAGGGAATCAGCATTACTATGTGAAAGCAAAGAACTGATGAGAATGGGACTGGGTGTGGGCAAAGACGGGGAAACCGGCAATTAAGTTACAGCAGGACCCAGCACCGTCTGCTGCACAGCGCTGGCACTAGGTACGAGGCTAACTAAGCGCCTCTTCCGAGTTTAGTAACTCCCAAGAGTTACTTCCATCCCACATAGCCGAAGACACTAGGAGCTAAAATATCGGTTGACAAAAACTCTCAGGCCTTAAACAATGTACATTAACTCCCTCCAATTCATCAAGACCAACCATGGGAAGTCCTCACACCTCCTTGCTCAAATGAGCAAATGTGGCCCTTATTAATGTCATTAATTCTGGCCAGAACATCAAAACTGCACCCGAGCCCGTTCCAGTGCATTCTGCTGGTTTCCAGGACGGCATCTCGGACCGCTGCAAGAGAGCGGGAGCTCCCCAAATTCACGAACCCCGACACTCACCGCCCAAGAAACGTGCTGCCCAGTGTCCTGCGGTCTCAGCGCGCTTCGCACAGCCCTGCGGGAAGTCGGGACCTCGAGGGCTTCCAGACCCCGCGCTGTCTGGGGGACACCCCTACCCACGGAGCACCCTCGGCCGGGCTGACGTCGCCGCCGCGGGACTGCGGGCCCGGGTCGGCCTCGCGGGCGTTACCTGTACATCACGTAGGTGGGCGAGTCCAGGCTCAGAAACCCGTCGTCCATAGGGGACGCCGCCGCCTCTCCGGCCTCGGCCGCCATCTCTTCCTCTTGCAGC